GTCTGGGACGCGCGGCACGATGCCGACGCGCTCCACCTGCTGGCGCCCCCGAGGGTGCTGCCGCTCGTCGCCCGACCTGAGGATGGCTGCCGAGTCATCGGGCGGCTGCAGCTCGCTGTCGACCCACGCGGAGAAGTCGCCGGCCTGCCCAGCGTCTCCAGCCAGGCCACCTCGCAGCTCCGCACCCGAGGCGCTCGGCCCTGGGTCTTCGTCGATGAAGCGCCACCGCTCACGCCAGACGGCCACATCCCACAGCTGGTGCTTGTCGGCGGTGGTGACGTGCAGCGCGTAGCCCTCCGTGGACGCGTCGCTGCAGTAGGCCCGCTCCAGCATCGGGGAGGCGAGATCAAGGTGCACGAAGTGGACGAGGTCCCTGGCGATCCGCAGCTCGTCCAGGACGTCGCGAGGTAGCGCTCGGACCTCGTGGCCGCCAGTGCCCACAAAGCGGTAAGCGGCCCCCAGGATGGACAAAGCGCAGCGCCGCAGACTGAAGTGATGCACAAGATGACCCAGAAGGCACCGAACGTGGTTCGGAGAAAGCGCCCCGCGATGGCTCGCCTCGCCCAGGGCGTACCAGAGCCGCCAGCTGCGCCGGTGGCTGTGTCTGACCCACCGCCGCGCGCCGTCGAACAGTAAGCCGACTGCCTCGAAGCTCTGCGTCGCGTCGACCCGCTCATGCACCTGCAGACCCATGCGGACAAGCTCGTCCACCACCTCCGCGTGCAGCCGCACCACGGCGTCGCGGTCGCACCCGAGGACGTTCGCGTTGTCGACGTACGGGGCGCAGACGGCAACGCCAGGCCGCAGCCCCGGCGGCGGTTGGCGATCACCGACAACGACAGGCCCAAGCCCCAGGCGCTCCTGAGCTCGGCGGCAGGCCTCTGAGACGGCGCTGTGGCAGAAGTACAACGCCCAGCTCCAGCCCATTGGCAGGCCGCCGAAGCAGACCTCGAGCTCGTCGGACGGGTCCACCGCCACGCTCGCGTTGACCTCAGGGTCAAAGACCTCGGTGACGCCGACGTCTCCAGCCCGGCGGCAGACGCCCAGCCCGAAGAAGTGCGAAACCGTCGGCGCCAGGAACTGGTAAAACCCGTCCTGCAGGTCGATCGAAGCTCCCCACAGTTCGGGCTCATGCCCCGGCTCCTTCTCCATGAAGTGCGGGTCCAGGACGAGGCTGGACATGGCGGCGGTCGTGGCCAGGCGCGTGTACGGGGCCTTCCTGTGCAACACGTTAGCCGGCCGACAGTCCAGCACCATGCGCAGCATCCCCGTCTTCTTCGCCACGAAGAAGATCCCGACGCGAGAGGCGACCCGACGCCGGTACGTGATGAGCCCCACGCTGTCCAGCTTTCCGACCAGGTCGTCGAGCATGTCGGGCGAGCGCCTGAGCCTCTCGTCCCAGTGAGGCCGAACAGGGTCAGGCCCCTCGGCGTCGGCGGGAAGCACGATCCGACGAGGGTCGTCCAGGAATGTCCGCGCGACGTCACCGACGAGCCCGGCGGCATCCTGCGGGCGGATGTTGCCCTTGGTGACAGCAAGGAGCTCGGGGCGGTACGGCGCCACGGCCAGCGGTGTGTCGCACTCGTAGAGGTCCTTCGTCTTGAGAATCTCGGATAGGGCCCCGTCGGGGCACAAGTCATGTTGGCGAGGCTGCGGGCCGGCGGCTTCTGCGGCGGTCGCCAGCCTCCTCCACACCTGCCGCTGCGGTCCCGAGAGCGGCTGGCGCGAAGTTGCGTGGTGAAGCGGCCCAGGCGTGGGCACGCCCCTGGCCCGAGCCCCCGCCAGAGCGTTGAGCGCCGCAGCCGCTTGGACTTGAAGACGCCGTGGCCCCGGCTCGGGAAGCAGAAGACCGTCAGCGCGCGACGGCGCCGCACTAGATGAATTGGCAACCTCAGGAAGATCCAGAGGGAAAAGAGCACGGGAACGAGGGGCCGCCATCCCACACGAGCAGGTCCGCGGCCGTCGCAATCGAGGAGGACCTCCTCGTTCACGACTTCCCATCCTTCTTGCGCCTGTCCGACTCCTCCGCGAACAAACGCTGCTGCTTGAGTGTGAACGCCTCCGACTTCTGCTCCTCCGCGATGAACTTGGCGAAGTCGCCCGTGACCGCGGCCGTCCCCGAGTCGAGGGTGGACGCGATCATCATCTCGAGCCCCCTGAAGTCCGGGCTCTTGGGCGACCTCCTCGTCGCCCGCTCGATGTACATCACCCTCCTGGCGAGCATCTCCATACCCGCCAGGCGATAGACCTCCAGCTGGTCGAAGCACAACGTATGATGGAAGATGCTCAGGAGCGAGGCGTGGTGATGAGCCACGGCCGTGTCCGGCCCCACGCCCGAGTCCCGCACCCACTTGTCGTGGTAGGTGGCGACGGTCTCGCCCGACGAGCGGATGATCGAGACCAGCTCGACCGCCGCGCTCGGCCCACGGAACGGCCAGTCGCTGTCCAAGCCGCTGCTGGAGCCTGCGCCGGCGGCGATCTCCTGCGTCCTCTTCTGGAGCCCAGCCATCGCGTCGCGGAACTCGATGTACCGATGATCGCGGCCGTCTCGGGTGATCGCCATCACGCGTGGGTCTCTGCCAGCCCCGGACCTCTTCTCCTCCTTCCAGTCCTCCAGGTCGGCAGGGGCCACACGCTCCAGTGCTGTCCACCGGCCCTCGACAAGACCCAGCGCCGTCGACCCCCGCTGCACGAACCGGGCTGGGTTGCTGGTCACCGCGGCGTCGACCTGCTCCCCGAACTCCTCGGCTCCCGTGTCCGAGACCACCCAGACAGCGGCGCCGCGGCTTGGTGCCGTGGCCGCGCCACCGATGAGCACCGCCAGCGCCTCCCCCTGCTGCTGGAGGGAAAGGAGCTGGTCCTCGCTGAGGTCCCCGAACATGTAGATGTTCCCCCGCACACGCTGAGGCACCTGACATCCTCGAGGTAGTGGGACCACCCTGTGGTTGGCCAGGTCCAGCACCTCGACGTTGTAGTCCGGGGTCGAGACGACCCACTTGGTGCCATCGCCCACGCGGTTCAGCAACAAGCGGTGGTGCCACCGAAAGTGGTCGTCGTCTGGGAAGTCGATCGCCACCTGTGGGTTCCCCACGTCCAAGGCCATCTCCCGTGCCGCTGCCATCACTTCCGACTAGCCCTCGGCCGCCAGACGTCCCCCTCGTTGGGTGTCTCGACGCCAGATGGTCCCGATCCAGGGCTGGAAAGGCTAGGAGCGCCAAGAGCCAGTACGCCAGGCAGCGGAGCCGCGCCACTCGCTGGCGCTGGCAGCGACCAGGTGGCGGAGACTCCTCCAGGAAGGCCGACGCTCGCGCCGCCCTCCGCCGCGGCCGCGAAGCGGCCGTTGCCCCACCAGGAGCAAGCGCGGGCCGCCCACGCCAGGAGCGCCGCGCCTGCAAGGGATAGCCCGCTCAGCGTCCAGAAGCCCAGCCCGGCGCCGGGCGCCGCTGGGCAGGCCGGGCAGGCCGGCACGATCACCTCCGGACAGGCGGCCGGAGGGCAGACCGCTGCCGGGCAGACCGGCGGCGGACAGTGGTCAAGCTCGTGCCCGACCACGCAAGGCGCCGCCTCCGGCGCCTGGGGGTAGCCAGCGAGGCCACCGAGCAGCGAGCCCGCGAATCCAGCAATCGCGGCGAGAGCAGGGTCGGTGGCGCGCATCACACTCGGCTCAATCACTGAGCCAAAAACTTGAGGTGGGGCAGGCTACGATCGTGACAACGATAACATGGCACACCATATATATATATATATATATATATAATATATATATATATATATATGTTCCTCCGAGGAGCTCTTTTTCCACGGTGGCCAGACCAAAGGTTTGATCTGTGTGCTTACTGGTGCCCAGAGCTCTAGGCGAGAGGATGCAATCAGGCGCCAGTCCTCGAGACCGACGGCAGTCAGCACAACACCTCGCGTAGATTTTGCTCCGCGGGTGGGCTCGGGGGGGAGCTTGAGCACAATCGGTAGCGGGCGTGCTGCGACGCGCGGCCCCCTGTCCTCAAGGCACTCTCAGAAAAGATTCACATGCACGCATTGCCATCTGTTCCTCCGAGGAGCTCTTTTTCCACGGTGGCCAGACCAAAGGTTTGATCTGTGTGCTTACTGGTGCCCAGAGCTCTAGGCGAGAGGATGCAATCAGGCGCCAGTCCTCGAGACCGACGGCAGTCAGCACAACACCACAAAATCGGAGAACTCCGAAACCATATGTCTGGAGCCTCGACTTAAAGGCGAGGGGCCACTTTAGAAAGCATCCCCTGAAACACATGGTTCCGATGTGCATTGAGAAACGCACGAGCAATATGTACACACAGGACACTTGGGTAGGGTTCGGCGATAGCCGTGAGAAACCGACCGGCGTTATCTTTACCGGCGAGTTCAATGTGGGCCTTACCTGAGAACGAGCATATTCCTCTACCACAGCACTTGAAAGGACGCAGACTTGACAGGTCAGCATTAGCATAAAGGATTGCAGTGCGCTTTCGCCACGGAGTGCCGAAAGCGCAGAAGTCCACGGTTAAGCGCTGGACCCCGGACCGCTTTGAGACTCTTTCAGCCACCGGTTGCTTCCAGAGCCAGGAGGACCCCGGGTTTTCCAGGCCAACAGGGATCCCAAGGGACAGCGCTAACTCAAAAAGACTAAAACTGAACGCACAGAGCCTATTGCCTTGCAAAACTTTCAGAGCATCACCAGGCGTCAATCCAGGGAGGCCCTGAGGGTGCGAGCTGCTTCTGAGCGGGGGGGGGCCATCTGGTCGGTTGCGCGCAAGCGACATCGACTGACAAGGCGTGCCCAACCACACAGCTGCCACAAGGCCTGACCGAAGCCATCCGCGAACAAGTTGCTGAACTCTGCGCTGCAGAAGGTCTGACGCTGGGTCGTGCTTGAGGTCCAGCTCAAAGGCGGCCAGGCTGCCGTGGGAGACTCGCCGCCACGCCAGAGAGAGGCGCCCTGACCCGCTGAACACTTCTAGGAACACGGGTTGGCCGCCGGCCTCTACAGCCCGAGCCAGATGTTGGATAGGCGCCCGCCAATGGTGCCGACCAGGCGCGTGGCGCGGCGCTGCTCGGAGATCGGAAGCCGTCGCATCAGCCCTGCCACGCGACCCCCTTTGGTGTAGCGCCGTGGGGACAAGTCCGACACCCACCTCCCTCTCTTGTTGGTCTCGTCGAGGCTTCTGAACTTTGCGAGGTACTCGTGGGAGGCCCCCCCGTGTCGGAGGGTGTAGAGCGATGGCGGTCCCAGGACGCCGAGGTGCAGCGCGGCCGCAGCACGCCTGAAGACCAGGGCCCTCTGGTTGTAGCTCAGGTCGAAGACGCGGCTGCCTGGCGCGGCTCGGGCACGCAGCGCCTGCAGCAGCGGTGGCAGCCAGGTGAACCCCGGGTTGTCCAGAAGGAGGCCCTCGTCGTAGACTCCCGTCTTCGAAGGCTGAGCGCACTCCATTGGATGTAGGACCACCAACCAGAAGTTCAGGAAGGTTCGCCCCGGAGGGGCGCCCTCGGCAGGCGGGATCACCTGCTCGCGCGTCAGGCCGAGCAGCTCTGCCGGTCGGAGGTACAGCGCGAAGCAGGCCGCCGTCGCCGCCGCCGCTGCCGTCTCGCCTGCATTCAGCATCCAGCCGATCATCAGGCAAGCAATCGGCCAGGGCAGCGGCACCCGAGATCGTGGTGGTACCAGCCGGGCCCAGCCCTTCGCAGCCCGAGCGGCCCTCGGGAAGGCCACCTGCAGCCGACCGAGCGCCGCGCGGCAATGAACCAGTGCCGCCATGTACTTCGTCGCCTCCTCGCTCGGGTAACCGTCGTAGAACAGCTGGTTGAAGGAGGTCACCAGTGCGACGTCCAGCTCGGGCACCTTCCCGATCGGCAGTCGGACCGAGGTCGCCCACCCCGTGAACCTCGACACCCTGTCGGCAAAGTCCTGGCGGGTCGCCTCCCCCACGGCCTGCGTCCCCAGGAAGGTCAGCGAGCCCGAGGTCGCCGCCGTGTTGGCGGCGGGGAAGGCGCGCCTCCTGGCAACTCGGCGGTCCGCCTGGTCCCCCCAGGACTGCGCAGATGCGCTCTGGGAGCGGCCCCGGCGCCCGAGGTAGGCGGGCGCTGGGGCTGCTGGAGCTGCCGCGGGCCGCCTGCGAAGGGCGCCCGACGGGCTGGCAGCAGACGCTCCCCGGGGCGACGACCGCTGGAGCATACCACGCCTCGGGCCTAGCACCAGGCCGGTTCCGTGATGCTGGGTCGGCAGAGTTGAACTCGGACGGCAGCCACCTCCAGTACGCCGCCGAGCCTGAGGCCAGCAGCAGACATGCCACCTGCCGGCAGACGGCGAGGAGGGCGGGCGCCGACGATCGCCCCTTTGCCAGAGCCAAGATGGGAGCCATGGCATCATTCAGCATCACGTGGGCCTTCCGAAAGGACCTCTTGGAGCGAAGCTTGTGCTTGAGCGCCATCACGCCGGCCCTGGCCTCCAGGATGACCTGAGGAGCTGGGCGCCGCCAGGGCACCGAGAGGACCGGGTGCCAGTGGTCCCTCCAGATGTCGGGCGGGACCTCCTCGAAGCTAGGGTCCACGTCGGAGACTTCGGGCCAGTCTGGAACGGTTCCTGAGGAGCCTTGACCAGGGACAGCAGCGGCTCGGGGCCCAAGGCGTTGGCGCTCAGCTTCCCGAGAGAACCTCCAACGCTCGTTGTACCGGGCCAGACGCTTGACCGAGTCCTCAGAAGCCTCCCGCTGGGTAACTCCAAATCCCCAAGACGACGCATCCAGGCACGTAAGGGTGGTGTCGAAGGGCACCCCGAGGTCCCTGCTGCAGAAGATGAGGAGAGCCCGAGCCCAGCGCAGTTCACGACGGACGACGGGCCAGAGCTTAGCGGTGCGATTGTGGTACACCTCCCCGAACTTGTAGACGGCCCCCAGGCACGAGAGGAGCTCCCTCCTAATGAGCACCCTGGACGTGATGTGCGAAACGATCCTCACCATCTCCTTTCCAGAACAGAACCCACGTCGGAGGACTTCCTGAATCCCAAGGTACAACTTCCACCTAAGCCTGGGGTTGAGCGAGATCACGGGCGAGTCCGGGTCGAAGGACCAGCCAAGAGTCTCCCCGCCCACTCCGCTCTCCACCCCGTGGGTAGGCAATCCCACAGCACGCATATGATGATTGACCTGACGGGCAGCAGCAGTAGCAGAGGCCTCCGATAGCGACAGAGCAACGAAGTTGTCGACGTACTCGGTATGAACAACGCCTGAGTCGACGACAGGGGCAGGTAGGCGATCGACCAGGACACGCTCCGGCCTGACGAGGCCAGCACGCTGCGAGACAATCTCATTCACTGACTGACACAACCAAAGACTGAGACTGAATCCCATCGGAGGGCACCTGAAGCACGGATGGACCCACTGCGTAGGCGACACGGGTCTTCCATTCGCGTCGACCGAGATCCCCATCTCCCCAGCCCTGATCTTAGGGAGTCCGAAGTACCGCCGAAGCCAAGGTGGGAGCAACATGGTATAGAAGGCATCCGCGATGTCCACACCAGCGACACACACAGGCTCCCGACTGTCAACTCGGAGTTGGGAGAACGCGGCCCCAGTTGCCAGCTTCACTTTGGGGGGCTCGTCGAACAACTGGGAGGGGATCCGACCATCCAGTATGAGCCTCAGGGCCCCTGACTTCTTATAGACGAAAAACATTCCCACTGAGCTCAGCGCATCGGTATGAAACTCAACGAGGTGCGATGACAAAAGACGGTGCGATACTTTCTTATATAAGCGAGGGTTCCTCAAGTTGGGATCCGAATACGCCCTCTTCGGAGCGTGCTCCGCGACCCGGGCAAGCCCCCGCTCACGGGGCAAAAGTAGTTCTTGAAGGCGGTGACCAATACTCACGCTGTCATCCCCGATGAGCGCAGACAAGGACTTCGGTTCGGAGCCCACGCTCGGCAGGGAGATCAGATCGACGCGGTCGAAGGTCACCGGCGCAATCACGGCAGACTCCTGGTCGTATGACTGCGCGACGCGGAGCTCCTCAAGGGCTCCTGCGGGAGTGAGGTCGGGCGGGGGCACTCCGAAGGCGTCGACGGCCTCCTGGATCACCGCCAGAGCCTCCTGCTGGGCGGTCGTCGGGCCGGTGAGGCCGGTGGGCCGCGGGCAGCTCGAACCAGTGTACATCTCATTCATGGCGCGGATGGCGTCGACGACCATCTCGCGGCGGTGACTGGTCCTGTGGAGTCGCCTCTTAGTTGTGCGAGAAAGGTCAGTGGCCACAAAACTGCGCTCACCTCCGGCGGGCACAGGGAGCGGAAAGAGATCCCGATGCCGTCGCTGACGAGCAGGCTGAGCCTCATGTACATCTGCAGCGCGGGAGGCGATATCCGCGAAGCCCCCTCGAGAGTCGCTGAAGGCGGTCGGGGAGTCCGCCTCCAGGCCCCGCTCCATCATGGAGCCAGAGCGCGGCGCTCTTCCTTAGCTTGCCTGATCTGCTTAAGGATCCCAGCGTCGCGCTCAACTTGCTTGGCCTCGTGCTCCAGTAGTGCCGGAGCCACCATCGTGCGGCCGTCCTCGTGGGCCGCGCCCGTGAAAACCCCCACCTCGTACTCCATGGCGTACATATACTTGTACAGCTGCGCCTGCCGCAGCATGACCCCGACGCCCACCACCTTGGGCAAGTCGATGAGGTCCCACGTCATCAGGTAGTCGACCATCCGCATGATGGCCTCGTAGTGTGTCTCCCCGAAGTCGTCGCGATACAGCCGGTAGTAGGACACGAACTGGTGGAAGTGCTCGATGGCCCCTCCGCGCTTCCTGTCCAAGGAGCGGAGGCACCACAGCGTGGTCCTCGGGCCGTCCCGCGGCCAGTCGGGGAAGGGCTCCTCGCGGAGCTTGTCGACACCCTCGTGGAACTGCCCGCGCTGCCGCGAGCCGTCACTAAGCAGTGGCACAGGCTGGAGGCGAGCGTCGGCGAGGGACTCGGCGCCGCGGTAGGCGGCCTGCGAGGTCATGATCACCCTGAGGGCCGACCAGCTCCCGCCAGCGTCCTGCTTCAGGCCGATAGCCCCCCGGATGAGGTCGGTCCCGTCCATCGTGACAGGGTCCCTGCGCCTGGCCGTCGTCGTGGCCTCGACGTAGACCCACTGCACGTCAGCCATAGGCAAGGCACTCGGCCCCAAGGGTCCTGCGGGAGCTCCCGCAGCGGCGAGCGGAGCGGCTGCTGCCGCCATGGGGGTGGCACCAGCGGGCGGCCCAGCCGCGGGCGCGGCGGGGTCGGCCGGCACCACCGCCAGCGCGGCGGCCACAGCTGCCCCTCCCCCGGCGGCAGGGGCGGCGGGAGCGGGCCCAGGCGCGACCGCGCCTCCAGCCGCGGCTGCGATCGTGAAGTAGACGGCAGCGCCCGCCGGAGGCACCACCCCGGGCCGTCCGGCCGCGCGCTCCGCGACGAGGAACACGTCGCGGGCGTAGGCGTCCACCTCGCTCCAGATGGCCACCTCCTCGGCCCCCGTCAGCGCGCGCCGGAAGCGGTAGAGGTTCCCGACCTCCAGGCCAGCTGGGCGGGTGCCCCTGTCGTCCTCGAAGCGAACCGCAGCCGAAGTCCCATCAGACAAGTCGTACAGCTCTTCGTATACGCCGCCATCCGGCGTCGATATCAGCACCCGCAGGGGGGACCAGCGGGCATCAGTCGGATCCTGAATCACCTGCCGCACCACGTGGGAGCTGAAGACCAACAGGTTGATGGCGACCAGGAAGCAAGTCAGCCGCCCGCCCGTCCAGGAGAGGCTCTCAGGCTCCTGGGCGGCCGGCTGGGGCGCGGGCGCGGTGGCCGGCGCCCCGGGAGCCGCCGGACAGGCGGCCGGCGGGGGGAAGTGGATCGGCGCCGCCGAGGGGCAGGCTGGGCACGCCGGCGGCTGCGGGCAGGCGGGGCACGCCGGGCAGCGGGCCGACCAACTCACGACCGTCTGCGAGACGGTGCCGACGAGCCAGTCCAGGTACCGCTGGCCAAATCGCCAGGCCATGGGAAGCGGGGGATGCGTCTCCCGGCGCGGCGGCGCCGGTGTCAGCTTGAGCACAATCGGTAGCGGGCGTGCTGCGACGCGCGGCCCCCTGTCCTCAAGGCACTCTCAGAAAAGATTCACATGCACGCATTGCCATATCCAGGAGGCACCTGCGGTCAGGAACTATTGCTTAGCGGGTGGCCGCGGCGGCGCTGGCGACGCGCCACATGCCTCGCGCGAGCGCACAGCGCGAGGGCTCCGCCCCCCGCGGCGGGAGGCCGGAGAGAGCTCGGGGCGTCGACGCCTGGGGCGTCGGAAGCGGGCCGCGCGCTGCGCCGAGGTGCGGCGGGCCAGGACTGTCGAAGCGACACGCGGAGCCGAAGCTGGTATTGAAACGTAGAGCCGCGAGCGGCCTTCGCCGGGCCCCGGGGCCGTCACCCGGGGAATGGGTCGAGACTTCTGGGGACCCCGTATGGAAAAAAACACGACGTCGGATCTCTGGGACCGTCACCCGGGCCAAGGCCCTCCCGGGCCCGGGCAGGGCGGTGGTGCGGCGGTGCCTTCGGCGGGCGCACGCGTGTTCCATGGCGGCTCCCGGAGGCGCCCCCCGCGCGAAGTCGCGCGGGTTTCCGAGGCCCCCCACGAGTCGCACCGGCGCCCGGAGGCTTCCAAAAGAGGGGGGGCGGGAGCAGGAGGAGCAGCAGCAGCCCGAGACAATATCAAGGAGGCCACCTGGCCGGTCGCTTGCCCCGGCGGCCAGCCCCGAGGCCGCCTCCCGCCGGTGGGCCCTCTCGGCGTGGGAGGGGCCCAGACCCCCGACGTCGTGCTTCCTGCGCAGCGTCGACGCCCAGAGGTCTGGACCCCCTCCCCCGGGGCCGGGCTCTGCATCCCATGGGTCGTCCCTTGACGGCCGCCGGGGGCCGGGCGAGGGCGCCCTCTGCAGGGGCCGAAAAAAGGGCGGAAGACCTCCCGTCGCGATGGCTTCCCGGCGCGAGGGGGGTCTACTATAAGGAGCGGGGAGGGCGAAGGCGGAGAGGCAGCCCAGACCCCCGACGCAAGGATTTGCTCCTTTCCGTCGACCCCCAGGAGGTCCCGACCCTTCCCCAGGGACCGGCTTTGCATCCTGAGTCGTTTTGTGGACGCTCCCGGGGCCCGGCGAGGGCCCCCAGAGGTTGACAATGAGGAGAAACCTCCCGCCCTGATGTTTTCATCACTCGAGGGGGTCCTATAAGGAGCGGGGAGGGCGAGGCGGAGAGGCAGCCCAGACCCCCGACGTAATTAATGGCTTCCCGGCGCGAGGGGATCCTATAGGAGCGGGGAGGGCGGAGCGGGAGAGGGGAGGGCGGGTCCCGACGCAAGGATTTGTCCTTTCCGTCGACCCCCAGGAGGTCCCGACCCTTCCCCCATGACCGGCTCTGCATCCTGAGTCGTTTTGTGGACGCTCCCGGGGCCCGGCGGGGGCCCCCAGAGGTTGACAATTTTGGAGAAACCTCCCGTCCTGATGTTTTCATCACTCGAGGGGGTCTGGGAGGCAGCGTGGGATGCGCGAGGCCAGGGCCGAAGAACCCCAGAGGTCCGACGCGCGGCCCCTGTCGATGCGGGCCGCTCCCCGTCCCAGGCCGTTCCCCGTCCCAGGCAGGTCCCCCCGGGGGCCGAAAGCGTTTTTTTTTTGTTGCGATGACAAAGCGTGTGATCCCAGGACGGAGGTCTTTGAAAAGAATGAAGACGGAGGTTTTTCTAATTTTTCGGCCTCGAGGGACCCTCGCTGGGCCCCGGGACCATCCAAAAACGACTCGGGATGAGAAACGGGCCCCGGGGAATGGGTCGAGACTTCTGGGGACGGCGTCCTGAAAAAAAAAAACGACATCGGATCTCTGGGGACGTGATCGCGTCGTGAAAAAAACAGGACAGAGGTTTTTCGTCGGCCACGGCCTCAAGAGGCCCTCGCCAGGCCCCGGGGCCGCCAAGAAACGGCTCAAGATGAGGAGCCGGTCCTGGGGAAACGGTCCCTTATATAAAAAACAAAAAGGAAACAACAGAACAACAAAAAAAAATCGCCTTGAGCTTCTCAGGGATCTTCTGGCCCGGGTCAATCCAGACCCGGGTCAGCCAGGCCTTGCAAGATCCTGCAAGATCCTGTACCCAAACCCGGGTCAATGCGAAGGACCCTGCAGGATCCTGCACCCAAGCCCAGGACAATGCGATCCTGGCCCTGCAGGATCCTGCAAAATCGGGTGCTCTGGCTGACCCCCGTTTGCATTCTCGGACATGCGACGTCCTGATTTTTTCAGGACGGCGTCCCCGGAAATCCAGACCCTTTCCCCGGGACCGGTTTTTCATCCTGAATCGTTATTTGACAATCCTGGGGACTGGCGCGGGCCCCCCAGGGGCCGAAAACAGCGAAAAACTGTCGCCCTGATTTTCTTACGACGCGATCCCGCTTGCATTGACCCCCGTCTCGCTGGGAGGTCCGGGGAGGGCGCTCTGGCTGACCCCCGTTCGCATTGGCCCCCGTCTCTTGGGCCCCGGGCTTCTCAGCTCGCTGGAGATCCGGGGCGGGCAACTTGCCCTCCCCGGTGCCCCAGCAAATCTCGGCCTCGAGGGGCCCTCGCCGGGCCCCTTGGGCCGTCAAGAAGCGACTCGGGACGACGAGCCGGCCCCGGGGAAAGGGTCGGGACTTCCGGGGGCGCCGGCCGGAACAAAATCAGGACGTCGCAGGTCTGGGATATACGGTGAGGGCAGTGGACAAGGAGCCCTTAGAGAAGGAGTCCAGGGTCTGGAAGCCAGTGGGATTCCAATCGCGGCTTGGCCATGGATCTCACCGCCGCCGTCATCAGACAAGGAAGCCGCCAGGGTCTGCAGCATCCTGGGCGCGTTCCTTAACCGACGCCCCCACCGCAGTCGGGGCAAGGAGAGGGGCAACCTGGGGGGAGAAGCAGGGGCGGGAAAGGGGGAGAGAGAGAGGAAGGGCCAAGCTGGTTTCCCAGAGATCCGATGTTGTGATTTTCTCCATAGTCCCCAAAAATCTCGACCCATTCCCCGGGACCGGCTTCTCGTCCTGAGTCCTTTTTTGACGGTCCCAGGGCCCGGCGAGGGCCCCTCGAGGCCGCTGGGCCTCGGGGCCCTCGCTGGGCCTCGCTGGGCCTCGGGGCCGTCAAAAACCGACTCGGGACGAAAAACCGGTCTCGGGGAAAGGGTCGGGACTTCCGGCCGGGGCCGGCGCCCCGAAAAAAATCAGGTCGCATGTCTGGGGAGGCATGGGAGGTGGAGGGCTGTGGGAGGGGGGGAGGGGGCGAAGGGAGGGAGAGGGGCAGCTTGGGGGGGAAGCAGGGGCGGGACAGGGAGAGGGGAGGAAGGGCCAAGCGAGGTGCGCTCGCGCCTCATCTGACATCCTGTCTCTCCCTCCCATGCCCTCCCATGGCGCTGATCTTCCTCCATCCGCGGACGCGTGTCATAGCTGACCTGCGACGCCCACAGAAAGACCCTTTCGTGTTATGCGCAATCAAGAAACGGGAAGCTGCGCGCCACAGGAGGAAGAGGAGTTGGTGGGTGAGCGGGGAAGATGAGCGGGAGGACAGGGAGGATGACGAACAACAGCAGCAGGAACCAAAGCGGACGGGTTGGGAGGACCAGGAGGGCCCGGGGAAGGCGGAGGAGGGGATTCCGAGCGGGGCGACCCCGCCCCCAGCCCTGTCCTGCAGGGACTGCCAGGGGAGGGAGGGAACAAGGAAGTGGGGGGGCATGGAAGGGGGGGGCATGGGAGGGGGGGGCTCTGGGAGGGGGAGGGCTCTGGGAGGGGGGGGGGGCCAAGGGAGGGAGAGGGGCATCTTGGCGGGGGGAAGCTGGGGCGGGAAAGGGAGGGGGAGGAAGGGCCGCGCTGGGGGCATCTCGGAGGGGGAGCAGGGATGGGAAAGGAAGAGGGAGGGCGGGCGGAGGGGAGAGGCCTCCGCCGGCGCCCCCGCTCGGCGCCGCCAGCCCCTCGGGCGATCAAGGCGCGAAGCAGGCCCTGTCCCCGGCGCCCTCCAGCGTGCGCAGGCACTCCCCGGAGTCGGCGTCCCAGAACTTCGCCGTCTGGTCCCGCGAGGCGGTCAGCACCCGCTGCCCGTCCGCCGAGAACACGGCGGACCTCACGGGGAACCGGTGGCCCTCCAGCGTGCGCAGGCACGCCCCGGAGTCCGCGGCCCAGATCTTCGCCGTCCGGTCCTCCGAGGCGGTCAGCACCCGCTGCCCGTCCGCCGAGAACACGGCGGACGTGACGGGGCCCCCGTGGCCCTCCAGCGTCCGCAGGCACTGCCCGGAGTCCGCGGCCCAGATCTTCGCCGTCCGGTCGCACGAGGCGGTCAGCACCCGCTGCCCGTCCGCCGAGAACACGGCGGAATTCACGTAGTGTTGGTGGCCCTCCAGCGTGCACAGGCACTCCCCGGAGTCCGCGGCCCAGATCTTCGCCGTCCCGTCGCACGAGGCGGTCAGCACCCGCTGCCCGTCCGCCGAGAACACGGCGGACGTGACGGGGCCCTCGTGGCCCTCCAGCGTGCGCAGGCACTCCCCAGAGTCCGCGGCCCAGATCTTCGCCGTCCCGTCCTGCGAGGCGGTCAGCACCCGCTGCCCGTCCGCCGAGAACACGGCGGACGTCACGTAGCTCCAGTGGCCCTCCAGCGTCCGCAGGCACTCCCCGGAGTCCGCGGCCCAGATCTTCCCCGTACAGTCGCACGCGGCGGTCAGCACCCGCTGCCCGCCCGCCGAGAACACGGCGGACCTCACGGCCCGCCGGTGGCCCTCCAGCGTGCGCAGGCACGCCCCGGAGTCGGCGTCCCAGATCATCGCCGTCCCGTCCTCCGAGGCGGTCAGCACCCGCTGCCCGTCTGCCGAGAACACGGCGGACCACACGATGTCCCGGTGGCCCTCCAGCGTCCGCAGGCACTCCCCGGAGTCCGCGTCCCAGATCTTCGCCACCGCCACGTCGCACGCCACTATGCGGCGCCTCCTGGTGACCACGAGGGTCAGCTCGCTGCCGCCCTGGACCCCGATCTCGCCCAGCGTCGCGGCGCCGCACAGCTCCGCCCCACCGAACAGGACGCGTAGTTTGTGGCCGGCCGCCTCCTCCTGCTCGGGGACCGCCGCGAGGAGGTCGCCCAGCTGCCACGACGGGTCGGCCTCCCTTCCCGGGAGAGTTTCCCTCCTCCTCCTCCGTTCCTCCTCCTCCTCCGCCGCCTCCTCGCCGTCCTCTTCCGCCCTCTCTCTCTCTCTCTCTCTCTTCGCCCGCGCCGCCTCGCCCTGCCCCCCGCGCCGTGCGCGTGGAAGCGCGGGCGCCGAGCAGCCGGCCCCGCGCAGCCCGGAGCGGCCAGGCGTTCACCGAGGCAGGCCCCCGGCGGGGCCGAGACCCGGCCCCCCCCCCCGCGCCGAGGGGCAACGCCAAAGTGGGGGCCTCCTTCTCGCCCGTCTTTCCTTCGCGCCTGGCGGCTGTCCAGCCTATCGGGGCGCCTTCCGGCGGCCGCGCCCCGCCGAGAGCCTCCCAGGGGCTCCCCGGATCGCCCCGCGCGGCCGCTGGAGGCCCGAGTTGCAGCTGTGGCGGGGCACGTGGCTCGTCGGCGGTGCATCGCCGATAGATCGGCGAACTCGGCTTCCCAAGGCAGATCCGCGCGCTCCTGGGCGGGGGCGAGCTGTCGGTGGGGGTCGATGCTGCCCCCTTCTCCTGAGGCTGTCGCCCCTGGCCCCCCTTCTCCTGAGGCTGTCGCCCCTGGCCCACCCCGGCGGGGAGGCCCCCCCAGACGCGCGCGGAGGAAATGCGCAGAGGATGCGCGCGCAGGCAGGCGCGCAGAGGAGCGCGCAGAGGCAAGCGCGCGGAGATGCGCGTAGGCGCGCAGAGGCGAGCGGGGAGCTTGCGCAGACGCAGACGCGCACAGAGGAGACGCGCGCAGGCGCCTGGAGGCGCGCGCAGAGGCGCGCGCAGACTCGCGCAGAGGCGCGCAGGCGCAGAGGCGCGCAGAGGCGCGCAGAGGCCCGTGGAGAGGCGCGCAGGCGCGCAGGCGCGCGCGCGGGGGTGCGCAAGCGCGCAGCACGCGCCAAGCGCAGAGGCGCCAAGAGGCGCGCAGAGGCCCGTAGGCGAGCAGGCGCGCAGACGCGCGCAAGCGCGCAGCACACGCGCAGCAGACGCGCGCCGAGGCGCGCAGAGGCGCACAGAGCAGACGCGCGCAGGCGCGCAGAGGCTCGCGCAGAGGAGGCGCGCGCAGGCCCGCAGAGGCGCGCGCAATATCGCGCGCAAGGGCACCGCAGACGCACGCAGAGGCGCGTGGGGGCGCAGAGGCGCGCGCGAGCGCACCGCAGACGCACGCGGAGGCGCGCCGCAAAGACGCGCGCAAGCGCGCATGGGCGCAGAGGCGCAGGGGCAAGTATGGGGCGCAAATCCCTTTCGGCCCCTCTCCCCGCCCCATCGCCGGCGCCGCGCAGCACAGGCTGCCCGGAGCCGGCGGCGCTGGGCCAGCAGCGCGCCGAGACACTGGATGCTCGACCGCACTCGACCATGGCGTGCTGGCGTCCTTCCCGCGCGGAGGCCGGCCTGCACCGTGCGCACCTCGGAGCGCGCCTGTACCGTGCTCGGGGATCTTCTGACCCGGGTTGGCAGGAAACCAGAAAAACTGCAATGCAGGAAAAAACAACTGCAACGCAAGTCTTCGCAGACCTGGGCCAGCCCATGTGCGCGGCCGCCTCGCGGCCACGAGCGGCTCGCTAACCCGGGTCAGCCAGAGGGGCTCGTCGCAGGATCCTGCAGGATCCAGTGCCCTGGCTGAGCCCCGTCTCGAGCCCCGACGTGCGCGAGTGCGGCCCGTGCCGGGTGCCCTGGCCACGCCCGAGCGTGCCGGCCGCCGCGGCCGAGCTCGGGGGGGCGGCCCGTTGCCTGCCACACGGCGGCGGCCACCGTGCGCCTCGTGCGCCCAGCGTCAGGTCGGGCCTGTCCCCCTACAGGCGGATTCAGGACGAGGAGTAAAGAACTATCCCAGAATGCCCGACTAAAGGCTGACCTCGACCGTTTTTGAAACACCCAGAAATTACCCGAAAATGGTCCCAGCTATCCCAAATGCCCCCCCGCAAAAAAAAACAAACTCGAAAACTCGTACCCTGACTGTGTTGTGACTGCTTTTGAATATCCCTCCTGCAGAGGGGCAGGCCCGACTCAAGCCCAGCGGTCTGCGCACCGCAGGCAGCGAGACGCCTGCAGGGGCCAGGCGCGGATCGCCCCCGCCCGCGCCGCCCCCCTTCCCGCTCCTCCTCTCGCTCCTCCCTGGCCTATCCGCCACCCTGCCCTGGGTACGCAGTGGGCGCGCCCTCGGGCCCTGTGCCGAATCTCCATTGGAGGCCTGGACATGGGCACCAACACCGACACAGGGGGTCTGCCTCCACAGGGGGAGGATGATCCTGGACGTCGGTGTTGGTGGTACGATCTCGGCCACCCTGGAAACCAGAACCATTGCCACCATCGCCGAGATCGGGATCGCCTTCCCCCCGGTGGAGGCACACCGCCGATATTGGTGTTGGTGTCAGCCTCTGGGGAGTCTCTGTTAGGGGCCCGGGCCCCCTACGGGCGGATCTTGGACGAAAATCCAACAGACCCCCCAAATACACCAAAAATATCCTCAAAAGGGTCCAAACCCAGACATGCGACGTCCTCATTTTTTCAGGACGGCGTCCCTGGAAGTGCCGACCCTTTCCCCTGGACCGGCTTCTTATCCTGAGTCGTGTTTTGACGGTCCCGAGGTCCGGCGAGGACCCCCGGGGCCGAAGACAGCCCAAAACCTGTCGTCCTAATTTTTTTTCCCGGAAAGGGCTCGAGCCCAGGGTTCTCTTTTAGTGGGTAAACCTGTCCCCCGGTGCCTGCTTGAAGGAGGCCGGCGAATTGCCGGCGAATTTTTTCCCTGATAAATAACGAGGTCGAAGGAGGCCGGCGAATTGCCGGCGAATTAAAATTTGAGGATGTCTCGAGCGAAACGCTTGTTTTTCCCGGAAAGGGCTCGGGCCCAGGGTTCTCTTTTACTAGGTAAACCTGTCCCCCGGTGCCTGCTTGAAGGAGGCCGGCGAATTTTTTCCCTGATAAATAACGAGCCGGCGAATTGCCGGCGAATTTTTTCCCTGATAAATAACGAGCCGGCGAATTGCCGGCGAATTTTTTCCATGATAAATAACGAGCCGGCGAATTAAAATTTGAGGATGTCTCGAGCGAAACGCTAGATTCCCAGCACGGCCCCACCCCAGCAAGACCACACCTCAGCACGACCACACTCACCCAGCACGACCACTCCTCACCTCACGCCCCAGCACACCACGCCCCAGCACGACCACTCCCCAGCACGATCACGACCACCCCCAGCACGGACCCCAGCAAGCCCCAGCACGACCTCACCACAGCACGACCACCGCCCCAGCACGACCACGCCCCAGCACGACCACTCCCCAGCACGACCACCTCCCAGCACGACCACCAGCACGACCACCCCCCCAGCACGACCACCCCCAGCACGACCCCCCCCAGCACGACCACCCCACACCCAGCACGACCACACCCCAGCACGACCACACCCCAGCACGACCCCACCCCAGCACGACCCCACCCTAGCACGACCACACCCCAGCACGACCACACCCCAGAACGACCACACCCCAGCACGACCCCACCCAAGCACGACCCCACCCCAGCACGACCACACCCCAGCACGACCACACCCCAGCAGGACCCCACCCCAGCACGACCCCACCCCAGCACGGCCCCACCCCAGCAAGACCACACCCCAGCACGACCACACCCCAGCACGACCTCACCACAGCACGACCACACCCCAGCACGATCACTCCCCAGCA